CCCACCCACACCCACACCCACGCCCTTATTGGTTAGTTGCTGGAATTTAGTGACATCTCTTTAACAATAATGATTCAGTAAAGATTGGATTACATGTTTTTCGTTCTTTGGGTTTTTTCCCAGTTCAGGTTCTGTTCTAGTATATATATAGCGCTGAGTTTCAATTAAATGTTAAGAAAGTTTTAAAACGATTACAACAGATCCATAAAGTTATCACTCATAAGGTAAGTTGCAATTACTTAGCATTTAATTCTTTTCGAAGCTATATTTATGAATAAGATGGCTGTATGACAGTTAAACAGGAGATTCAAATGCAACAGACTTTCTTCTACGATATTATACAGACGCATTCTCTGCAACATCTGTACAAAAAAATCATTATCAGTCTTTTATCATAAAGTGATTTTTTTGTCAAGCGCAGATTGTACAGATACATGAATCTCTTACGTATAAACCAAATGTGAAGCTTTTTTCTCTTTGTGTCAAACATATCTTCTAATTATGGCACGAAACAGGTCGAATAGAGTACACATTCATTTTGATACATGCAGTAAAAATATACTGCAAGAGAAAATATTATACGATATTTCTGCGCCGATATGATTCAGATACAAAGACAAGAGCGTGAGAAATGCGTAACTAGATGTACCTAGTTCTGCTACTGCCCAATGGATATGTTTTTTAGAAGCAAGAATATGCAGGGAATCCAATTAAAATGATTTGAATTTCGGTTGATCGAAGGCGAAGAAAGAAACCGACATATCATACCCACAACTTTAGAAGAAAAATATAATTAATCATCCGTTCTTGTACGGGTTGCGCGATGACATCCCGCTAACTGGAGTTAACGGCTTTTGTTATTGCACCATTTTAGATAAAGAACCTCGTCTGCCACCCTCTCAGGTAGTAGTTATTAGTTTTACATGATATGATATTGGTAAGAGCTGAATGAGTGTATAGCAGTTGTCATCGGTTTAAAACACTATGATACGCATACTTGTATTTGCGGTATAAAATTTGATGGATATTTTGAGATTCAGTTTTCTCAGCACCTACGGAACTCTTTAAACAGCGACTCATCTCAACTTTTTGCAAAATTACGATATACCAGATTCTTCTAAGTCATATATACTAATTCATCATACTCATGAAAATTGTGCATTTTTCAGTCGTTACAATAAATGACGTGAATCAAAACATCTGTGTATTCAGTGTTTTAGAAAGCACCACTTATCGTACTTTGAAAATATCGCTGTTTCTATCGATATCCAAAACTTGAATAAATGACCTGACTTTCGTTGTACCAAAAAACAAAATAAAGAAAGATTTCTCCGCGAAATATTTCTTTGCACAAAGGTCGTTGTTTGTTACTGATAACACTGAATATTTACATACAAAAAGAAGCTCTTGTTGTTTTCTTCTGTCTGACCCAAGAGATTATTTCCATCGTTTTTTGTTTGATTAAATATTTCACTATAAACGATACTGTCTCAGTAATACATGTGCTGTGAATTTTTTTCATTCATCTAATCGAATATGCCCATTTTCATATCGATTTCTGTTATTACTAATTACAATCGAGGTAAATGTTTATCCCCTTTATTTTGACTATGATCATCAGTCTAAAAAAACTCGACATTGAAGGGTAAGTATTGATTCTTTCAGAATGTCGACTGTGCAACCAATATTCATGCAGAAAAGAACTATTATTTTCTTGAGACTATTGGTCATTATCATCATAATTCTATGCCCAAAATACAGTGAGAGGGTATTTTGCTTGGCTGATGCACGTATTGTACTTGCTGCTAGTGAGTTCTTCTTCTTCTTTCTAAATTGTAATTAGATTCCTATGTTCGAAAATATGATGAAATTTTCATTCACGATATTAGTTTCTCTGTTGTTTCGTTATTTTCCTTTGATTTGTTGCCTATGTCTTCTATTATTTTTGAATTTGACTACAAATCAAAATTTTGCTGTTTCGCTTTCAGGGTGTTTCTTGAGATTGTTTTTTTTTTGTTCTGTTAGACTAAGAACATTTATTTTCGATCTTAACAAACTCTCTTCGTAGCTACTAAAATAACTCTAGCATATGTTAGACTAACACTGTGATATCAAGAGAAATAGGTACATTCTAAAATTCCATGAATTTAAGATTATTTTGACTATTTTTTCGATGCTTTCTGTCCTTTAAATTGACACAAACAGTTGAAATGATAGGAGGAAGTGTAGGTTTGGAATCCACAGCACCTGAGCATCTTGTTGTAAGATTTGGTGCTCAGATGCTGCATTTACCCTCTTGAAAATCCTCTAATGAAATAGAAGGTCTAATTATATTGTGTATCGATTAAAAATCTTACCATCGAAGATATCTGTTTTGTTGTCGGATAATCAATGTCGTATACGTTTTCTTTGGTAGAGAATATATTTTAGAGATGGCAGTGAAAACATTTTTTATCTCGTTAATAATATCTGGTTTTTTTTCGTTCCATTTTTTGATTTTACAGATGTTATCGAAAAGACCTCGTCTTACGTCTTCTTACGACAATCATGGCATATTACATTCAAAAGAAATAAATGAATCAATCTTAAATCATTTATTTCTTCCTCATGGATTATCACCTTCAGCATATGCTGATTCTTTAATTCAATCCAATCATGAAAATGAATACAAAATACTTGAATGTATGAATGAATACTTTCAATGTTTAGATACAAAGAATGAATTACCAATTTTATCAATCATTAAAACATGTACTGAACGTTGGTCGATTATACAGAATACGAAAAATTGTTCTGTTCCGCTTTTACAATCAACCATACAAAAGCTATCGTCAGGTGATTTTCTCCCTCTGTATTTTCATGCTCAAAATGCTGCAATTTTGATTGAAATCGATGAGAATTCCCTCAATCAACCATTGATCTCATCTTGGCAAGTGTTATTACCAACAGAAACCATAACATCATCACTAGAACCGCATCTTTCTTGTTTTCCTGTTCCTACATTTCGTTTACCTGATCAATCTCAACTATTATCTTCTGTCCATTGTGAATTACTTTTGGAGTTTATGAACAATACAATTGAATATCCCAAATCTTCCAAATCATCTTACACATTCGATGAAACTCGAGAAGTGCCCATATCACATTATGTATGCCAATGGTGGATCATACAATTTCAAAACGTTGAAATTGATAATCAGGTCAATACATCCGTTTCGTTTAAGAAAAAACATCGTGATCAAATCCGATACAAGAATTCAGCATATCCTTTTCGCCGATCAGGTTTATGGATGACTATGAAAGTTGTTTTTCAAACTATTTTAACAAAACGTTTGGGAAAAATTGGTACTATCATTTATAAATTACTTATTACTGACTTTTTAACTTATTTTATTTCTACAAGACAACAAATAATAAGTTTTCGCATATCAACTGATCTTCTTATACATTGTCTTCGAAAAATTGTACGACGATTGAATAAAATTGAAGTTTTGTTATCATCAATCGATTCGAACGATGTGATTCCATGGATACAAGATAAAAAAGAAGAAATTAAACAGAGAATTGATCGCATTACTCCAAATTTAGATTGGCAAAAATCCATCGAAAAGAATCAAAAACAAAATATCCCAGCACTTCAATTGAATCTAGATCAACAAGAAATCTTTCAGCATTCATGTCACAAATTAAAAGCTTATCTTGATAAAAATCATTCCAATACTTCAAAAAGACAACTCGATGGTAGATATGATTATAATCGTTGGACATCGACTAGTGTTGCTCATGAAGACGATGAATTACCTCGAGTTTCAGCTTTAACCAATCACGAAGATGATGCTATTGGCATAGCGTTGGCACGTATCGAAATTTGGGTACAATCCTGTTTAGAGCAATGGATCAATCGCTCTTTACTATCGAAAAATGGATACAAATGTTTTGAAAATTTACAATCCTTTCACGAAGATTATCAACTTGCAGCTTTAAATTTTTATTATTCAAATAATCAATCGACTGATCCAATTGGTTACAGTCGTTTTATTCTAACATCATTGACAATAATACGTTTGATGCATTTAAAACTATGTGAAGATACGAGATTCGAACGATTGAAAGTGCATGCCATTCGAATTCCTCATCTTATGAATCTATTCGAATATTTAGTCTTGCCCAATCGAGACGATATGATTCGAGCTCGAGATTTATATGATTATTTTCTAGAATTCAATGAAAAACCATATCCAGATCTCTTAAGTAATATCGATTCGCAAAATGCTTTTGGTATTTATTTTGCTGAACAATCAGTAGAAATTAATGAAAATCTGAAAAAAATTCAAGAACAAGTTGAACAAGATAGAAAAGATAAAATCGAAGAAATAAATAATGCAAAAGAAAAATATGAAGAACTCATGAAAAAAGTCAATGATCTTAAATGTGAATGTGAACCGAAGATTTCTTATCGAAAATGTAATCGGTGTACTTTGATAAAGGAAGCAGATAATATCAAAGTGAATATTTACGAATGCCCAATACCATCCGAACGTAGAAGTGCTTTGGCTGTTATGTTTGAATTACAAATGCCGAATGAAATTCGATGTTATCGAGATATACTTTGGCAATTTATTAATCGTCCTAAACCAAATCCTTCGCATAATATGCATGAATGGTTAAGAACTCATCCTCACCAAAATAAACTGGGACAATATTTCAAAGGTTCACATAATTGTAAAGTAAAATTGGTATCTCCAACTAAGTCGATAACAGAAAGTCATTATTCAGCTCCGCGACAAATCAAATCAACGCCTCTAGAAGAATATTTTTATGATAATAGCCTGAAAGTTCAAATATCTCCAACTAAAATAAATGATTTTCAAGATGAATGTCGAACATTAATACCCCAATTGGCAGATTCAAATTATAAAGATTTACAGTTTTCTATTGATAACACAGAATTCGTACAAAATCGAGTCATAGCTGAACTATCAAAATGTTCATTAAAATTAAAGTCAGCTGAGTTTATTGAATTTGGTTCATTTCGTTCTGGTTATCGTTTACAATGGTGGAATCTTTTAAGTATTCTTGAATTAGATTCATTATCAATGGATGAAGAAAGTGTTGTCATACTCATAACACATGCACTTTTACAATATGGCCCAGTAACAAAAGATCGACAATCATTGATTTGTTCATGGTGTCCGGAATCACATCAACAATTATTAGAAGATCATTTTGTTGATGAATTAATTACGAGGTTGGATCATCATTTAAAAGATTGTGAATGTAATTGGCAAAATGAATTGATATTAGTAATTATAACAGTGATTGTTATGAGAATATTCACTATATGTAATTCAACACGAAAATATCAAATGACGAATTTAGTTTTAAAATGTCGTAAAATAGGTGAAAAATGGATTGAACTTATTTTGAAAACAATTCAAAATCCATCTTCATCTGATGATGATAAAATGAATGCATTACGTGATAAAATCGTCATTATTGGTACTACAAATCTGCTGACATACTCAATATATACTGATAGTAGCAATACTTTAGTATTATCAAATCAAGACGTTATTTCTTTATTGACAATAGCAACAACTATTCATGATAATAGTGTTTTAAATAAGAAAACAGTTCATATGAGTGTATTTATGAGAAATTTAATGCGTTATAGTGAACGTGTGTTATTATCGATTCATCCAATCATAAGCAAACTTCTACAAGAAAATTCCTATGAAAGTTTAAATGAATTTTGTTATATTCATTGGGCAGTAGTACGAACTAAAGGTATGATGAATGGTAAATGGAAGAAAAGAAACAAAGGCATATATGATGGTTGGTATGATGGTGAATATGAATCGAACAAGATATCAATTGATTGTTTAAGAGGAAGATTTTTTGTCAATAAGATGACAATTGGTTTTTTACCAGATAGAATAACTTCAGATGAGTTATATCGTCGTGTGTTTGGTCAACATATTTTTGAAGTGCAAGCAGCTGAATCAGAAGATAGTTACATCACAAAACATGGATATCATGATGATGGAAAAGTTCACTATGAATTCACTTACCATAATGGATATTATGGAGACCGAAAATTGATTGTCTATGAACGGCACGTTAAAACAAACTCGAAGTTTCAATTGATTCCTTCCAGCTGTTTTGAAAGAGAACTACCTGATATTTTCATTTTGAACTATAGTCATTGGTGGAATGAAAACACGAAAATATTAGAATTTCGACCTATTCATTTTCAAGAATCGAATTTTTTAACTGATATATCTTACAAATTATTCAGCAACGGATATATTATGAAGTGTAACACTGAAAATAACCAATATTTAGTTAATCGATCATCGTCATTCTTTCAGAACTTATTTGAACAATACTTCATTCGTCTCGATGATGAACCTTATGTATATATGTTAAGAGAGAATGATATTATTCATATTCATTTATCTCGATTAGGTATTGCTTTCAAATACAACTGTTGTAACAAAATAATAACTTCTCGTGAATATTCTGATATGTACATTGATGAAGATCAATGTTTCGGAACATTGACAGGTTTGAAATCAGGTATTCTTCTTTCACCAATCGCAATAATTAATCAAAAAAGTAGACATTATCTATCTCGAAAATTAATCGTTCCCTTTGGACAAATTCAAGCAATCAAGAAATCGGATGATGATCATCAAATTGTGACTATAGAACGAAAATCATCATCATTTATTCATGAATATTTTGTTTTTATTTTGAATGATCGATTACGTATTCTTCAACCAACTGATAGTCCAACAGGTTGGCTCTATTTAGCATTGTTACATGCAATGACATCGCATCCTTTACCCGACCAATATACGGGAATGACTGGTATGGAACGTTCTTATCAATTGTTGCATTCAGCAGGTTGTTGGTCTGATCAACCTTATGATTCAATTACACGAAATATTCTTCTTCAAATTGCAACTATTTCACCTAAAGTTAATTTTTATCCCGAACATCTAACTTGTATGGTAAAAATCGATTGGAACGAGAATAGTTTACCATACTCAATGCAACATTTTGGTTATTATTTGATAGTAAAAAAATTAGTTGAAGCAAGTGAAGAATGGAATTTCATGTATCCATCATTCATCTCGAATGATGAAATAGAAAAACTCTTTCAAAGCAAAACATATAATGAAAAATTATTGGCTAAACTCTATTGGGACTATCGAGATTCGTACAATCCTACAGCTCGACTATCTACACAGACGGAAAAAGAAATTTGTTGCATAAGTTCGACAGAATCATATGAACCAATCTGGGAAAGTTATTCATATTCAACGAATTATAATTCTCTTGATCTTGTATATTATTTATATGGTAGTGGAGACGTAAATTTAAAAGATAGTAAAGAACTTAGATGTTTTCCTTTGTCTCGATGGCTTAAAGATGAATATCAACTTAAAAATATTTGGATTGGTTTGTTTAAATTCGCCGAGCAGCTCAACACGATCGAAAGTGATCATAAAAAAGATGATATTGAACGATTTGAAATGTTATTAGATTTTCTGCATTACATTACAGGTAAATGTTCTACTCAACCATTTTATTTGCAGATGCTTAAATCCATATTGAAAGTACCAAATTTGCCATTGAAATCTGTTTCATACCCTGAATTTACTCGATATACAAACATTCAAGACAGTTCATTCCAATCTTATCGTATCAATCTAGGAAATATGGGTCATTATAAACGAAATATAGTTTTACAAGAAATTCAAGATTGTTTTGTTAAAAACTGTACTTATGAAAATAAGAATCTTCCGGAAATGCGAAAACTAAGCAGTCGAACGTATGAAATCAACAGGTTACTAGAATCTTGGCGAGAGAATAAAAAACTTCGTTCGTTTTTAGAAAATATTCAAAATCATTTTCGTTCTATCACAATTATTCCATTGAATATCAATATGTCTGTTAGTCCTCAACAATTTGAATTCGAATTATTTGAAAAACATTATCAAATCCGTCTTAATCTGACAGATCAACTCATCAATCAAAAATTGTTGAAGAGTGCACAAGAAAAATTTCTACATCCTCATTCAAATTATTTTATTAAACCAAAAATGTGTGTTCCAATCATAAATGAGCAAAAAGAATTTCCACAACAAATTTTTCCTTCTGCTGACTCTCAAGTCAATCCTCTCAATGATATTGCAAATTATTTTAAGGAACACTTAACTGAAAGTTGGAAGAAATTTAATTTGACTGAAGAATATGAAAAAGAGTTTCCATCGATGGAAGAAATCAATCAATTTCTTGATTCTTTTCGTCAAGAATCCATAGAGTGGTGGGATGAATTAGTAAAGTCCATTACAATAACAAACAATTTGCTGGTCAATATGGGTTTAGTATCACGAATCTTACCGACAACTTTGATATCTGTTTTTCAACAAATATGGTTAAATGATAATGGATCAAATATATTATCCGTACAGTTGACACTTGAACAACGTACACTACTTGGTGGAATAATGGTTAATTGGATTGTAGAGCAGCAAATCGAGAGAGCTTTAAATCTTGCCAATCAAGAAAAGTGGGAAGATTTTGAAAAAGAAATATTAAACGTACCTCATACTAATTGGACACCATCAGAACATGTTCCATGGTTAATACTAGAACTTGAAATGAATATTACAATTCGAGAAATACAAGTTCAAGTAACACGTCATATGATACAACCAATGTTAAACGAAAATAACTCTTCAGTACGAAATATTGTAATGCAAATGAATATGGGTGAAGGCAAAACTTCAGTTATTTTACCAATGTTAGCACTCAGCTTATGTTCATCATCTTCGAGTTTAGTTCGTATCATCGTATTGAAAGCATTATTTCCAATGAATTATCAATCATTACGATATAAATTAGGTGGTCTACTAAATCGACGTGTAGCGCCATTTGCTTGCCGTCGTGACATGAACTTTAGTTATGCACAAGTGAATCAAATTTCCGATCGTCTCAAACAAGGATTACACAATTTGGATATTGTATTAACATCACCCGAAGATGTTTTATCTTTTGATTTGCTTACAATAGACAAATGTCGACGAAATGAATTAGATACTGGTCGTTCAATGCTGTCGATTCAAAGTTGGATGAAAACATTTGCTCGTGACGTTTTAGATGAATCTGACGAAATTTTACATGTTAAATATCAATTAATTTATTCGATCGGTCGTCAACAACAGGTTGACGGAGGTGTAGAACGTTGGAAGACCATTCAATATGTACTGAATTTAGTCAAACAACATGCTGCGAATATTGCACAGCAATATAATGATGATGTTTTTTACAAAGCATCAGACCGTCAAAGTAGTTTTCCAGAATTACGTCTGCTTAATCATCGACCATTTTTAGAATTATGTCGAAGAATAGCAAATGATTGGATAAATCAAAAAAGTTACCGTCAACTAGATCAACAACTTATTTTATCATTCATATTGGATACGAATTCATCGGTCAATAGTCTAGTCGATCAATTTCCTCATAATACAATTCAGTTATTTTTGATTATACGTGGTCTTTTATCATCTGAAGTGTTATTTGTTGGCTTAAAAAAACGTTATCGTGTTAATTTTGGTGTGAATCAAAATACAAAATTCGATCGTTTAATGGCTGTACCATTTCGTGCAAAAGATGTTGCAGCTGAAAATACAGAATTCGGACATCCAGATGTGGCTATTCTCTTAACACAAATTTCCTATTACTATAAAGGATTGACAGATTCACAAATGCTTCAATGTTTTAATCGTTTGAGTCAAGATGAAAGTGATCCGGAAATGATCTATGATCAATGGATTTCATTGGAAGAGGAAAACGATATCATTGCAAGTATAAGACAATGGAAAAGAGTCAATCTAAAAGATTATCAACAACGAACTCAACTACTCTTACCGACTTTACGATACAATATGCTAGTTATAAATTATTTTCTCAATCATTTTGTTTTTCCTCAAGAAGCAAAACAATTTCCACAAAAATTAGTTGCTTCTGCTTGGGATCTATCTTCATCTTCACGAGAAAAAATAATCACTGGATTTAGTGGTACAAATGATACTCAATTATTATTACCTGTTCACATTCGTCAATGTGATTTACCAGAACTTCAAAAAACAGACGCCATTGTTCTTAATAATTTACTGCGGCCAGAAAATGATCGTTATCAATATTTACCAATTAGTACGAGTTCTGATGAAATCTTGAAAAGAATTGTTATTAGCCAACCAATAACTCAAGTCATTCTAGATGTTGGTGCTTTGTTCATAGATGGAACTAATCGTCAAATAGCTGTCAAATGGTTGGATCTATCGGATAAAACAAAAATTGATTATGTAGTGTATTTTGAATCGGATTCAATATTCGTTTGTGATCGTCAATATCAACATCATGCTTTTTTGACATCACCTGCTAGTGAACGTCTCGATCGTTGTGTGTTTTATTTAGATGAAATTCATACGAGAGGAACAGACTTTAAATTTCCAAATGAATTTAGAGCCGCTGTCACCTTAGGAAATGGTCTCACTAAGGATCGGTTAGTTCAAGCATGTATGAGAATGAGAAAATTAGGCAAACATCATTGGTTAAGTTTCTGGAATTCAAACGAAGTTCATCAACAAATTCAAACAATGAAGAAAAATTCAGTTTCACCAAATGAAAAGGAAAACATCGATAATCGAATTACTCTGACTGATATTCTCCGTTGGGTTTATGAAAATACTCAACAGACAACATGGGATGGATTACATCTTTGGGCAACACAAAGTTTAAGTTTTCAACGGAAAATTACTGCTTTTCGAAATATCAATTGGAAAGAACAAGGAACATTGTATACAAATACAACAATGGAAAACATAGCCAGAGAATGTTTGGAAGACGAAGTCTTAGAGTTGAAATCTATGTATGGCGTATCGAAAATATTTCAAACAATATTTGACATTTATTCTGTTCGATCCAAACATTCCAATATTTGTTCATCAGTTGAAATTCATGAAGCTGTTTCCAAACGATTATGGGATTATGGTGGTTCAAAAAAACTTCTTACACAATTATTAGATGAAGAGCAGCAACGAGAACTAGAGCGAGAACAAGAATTAGAAGAAGAACGACAACAGAAACGTCCACCATCTGTTCATCCCTATGAGCCTCAATTACACGATGAGATCAAGGCTTTATGCGACATGCACGGTCCTATGTTGAATTTATCAAAATTAACTTCAGTATTTTGTCCCATTGCTGATGCTTTTCTTGATACTACATTCTATCATGAATGTCAACCACATTGTTGGCAACAGAATCTTTGGGTTACTGATGAATTCAAACGTGTGATTCAAACACGTGGAGAATCATTAAATCCTTTTCTACGTCCTGCACGATGGATTCTAATCTATCGTAATAAACATATCATTTTTGTAAGTCCTTTTGAAGCCAATTGGCTAATGGGTCGATTACATGATCTTTATCGTAAACAATCACCTGGAGAATTATTGACTACAACATTACGTCTATTGTTACCACGGACTAGACGAGATCAATCAATTATAGTTAACACAGCCACTTTAACAATTCCTCCGGCAATCGCACCCGATCGTGGTGCTGTTACATTCCAAATTCCGATTGAATGGTTGGTGGCATTATTTATTTTTAATGGTACGCTCTACTTTGAAACTACCGATGAACAAACAGCCTATTGCCATTGCCTAGGCCTATGCCCCAAACCTCGTACCGAGATTGAAGAAAATGCTTTTGAGAAAGGTTGGATTACTGTTGATGGATTCGTGGAAAAATCAGATCATCGCGATCTTTTACAACTTCAACAATGTCGTTTCCATGCCAATCCTTTAGCATTCGTTAGAAAATTGGTTGAAAACAGAAACAATACACATGCACCTTTGATATCCGATGTTGGTAGCATTCTTATAAATGCTGTAAAGCTTCCAGTCGGATCATTTCGACAATGAATCCGAGAATTATTAGAGTTGAATAGGACTTCATTAATTATTTTTTCCTTGCTAGACATGTGCTAGTTTGTTTTCAATTCTTAAATAAACATGACATGTCCATAAGGTATAAGAAATTCCATTTCAACTCAGAAGATGAAGAGAGAGAATGGTATCGTTGAAAATAACGGCTTTCTGTAATTTCGCCAATTCACTCTTTCGCCAATTGTACTTTTTCACGATTTTCTAGAATTTCGCCAATTCCTGCTTTCTCCAGTTGTACTTTTTCACTGTTGTACTTCCATATTATATGTGAGTCAGAACTCATTTCATTCAAATTGGCGAATTTCGTGGGAGAATTTGTCAATTGGTAAAAGAAGGAATTGGCGAAAAGACAATTCCCTACTCACGGAGCGAAGATAGAGCCATCAAAAGAGCTCATTATGATATAGGGTATGGGTGTGGGGTGTGGGCGCCGGTGTGAGGCTTCTCTCAGTTCGCTCACACCCATCCCCGATTTCTAAGGTTATGAAAGGAAATAGTCTCACAAATCCTTCGAAAATCCTCGCGAAATGCTAGAGAAATCCTCCAGAAATCCTGCAGAAATTCTCGAGATATCCTCGAGAAATCCTCTTGGAATCTTTGATAAATCCTCGAGAAATCCTTCGGAACTCCTAGAAACATCCTTGAGAAATTCTCGAAAAAACCTCAAAAGCCTGCCGAATTCGGTGGCTGGAATCATTCACTTGAGCGACCGTGTAAGGTAATATTCCGATGGTAAACGCTTCCGTATATGACCGTGCACGTCAGAAATGAGTTCATCTTACGGTGCATATAAACTGTCGCTTACTGTTGTCGAATTACGCCGTTTACGGCACGGTGATGTACGGCCATAGTACGGTACATACCAACGCAGCGAAGATATGGCCGTATACGGTCGTTTCTGATCGTCGTAAAGCTTGACCTGGATAATTTCGAAACGCGAACATAGCAAAATACGGTCGTATACAGTGCCTTCCAAAAAGCACATCGCCGCAGAACAGCCATTTTTCCATTCATCAGATAATACTCGTAATCTTCCCATCAACAAGAGCCCATCAAGGAATGCCTCAATATTGAGGTCCCCTTCAATAAATGGAGAAGAATCGTGAGAAATTCACGAAATACTGGCAATCCTAATATAGGACTTTTCCATGTAAAGGTCACAAAAAAAACACTTTTCGGACTATGGATGTATGTATGTGGGTTTTCATCACATCTAAACCTACAACCATATCCACCCACATCCTAGTGCTCACAGCTCAAAATCAAAAAGTCAAAAATTTGATCAGAGCATGAGATTACTGTGTTTCAGTTTGTAATATATTGTACTATGCTTATTAGTAGGAATTCTTTATAGTGACGAATCACATTCAAAACCAACAGTGCTGTTTGATTATGGATGTCCGAAAATGCGATTGGAGATTGAAATACAAACTTTTCAAAAATGAAAAAATATTCAAAATGGCTGACATGTAGGTGCCATGGTCATTATTAGAATGCATATAGCTCTTAAAAGAAAGAACGTAAAAAGGTCGGGCTTGTGCAAGTCTGTACATCATGAGCTGGTGAATCTATCATACTCTTTCTAATTAAAAGTTGATGCATTTATAACAGAGCTTTCAGTCTTTTCCCGAAGGTCACCGATTGATCGTTGGATTATGAGTCAATATTGTTGTTTTTTATATGGAACTCTGTAGTACTACGGCCTCTTTCAATCAGTGAAAACCGCAGCTCTCTATTCTAGTTTCTGTAAAGAACTATTTAAAAAATACCCATGCTTTCTTCTTTGAAATGAGTATTTGTTTTTAATAGTAAAAAAATTTTGGACGAATAAAAATCGTGGTTTTCTTGTACTTTGTTAGAAAAACGCCTATTAAAATAACAGAAGATTCATACAATAATTCATAATTTTCTAGTTCAAAATTAGCAAAAAGAAGTTAGCAAAAGCACACCATCTGCAGAATGACGACATGTCTTTTGATAATAGAAATGTGTTGCATTTTCTTCTGAGTGGAGCGAAGCTTACTCGTTGAGAGCTTTAGTATAGAATAAATTAATTCAGGATAGAAATGAACCATTTAACCATATGTTGTGAGCACTTTTCATCTTTATCCTAACAGTACAGTTTCATAGTACAAAGAGTTCTACTAGATTTCATATCGTCTCGCACAATAGGATAACTAAGGAAACTTAAAATTCTATAAACAAACTATTTCTTTAGAGATTGTAAAAGTAACAAAAATCATCTTGTTCGTTATTCAAGCTTGTAGAGAAAAACGTTTGCCAGCTGGAAGATGTGTAACATAACAATCTCCTTCCTACTTCTTTTTCTCTAAATTAAAATACGTCATTGAGACTGCTGACCTTCTAAATGCATAATGATGATGTATTTTCCTTAATAAAATAGATTGCTCGAAATGAGCGTGTGCCTATTGAGAAAATCCTTGAATTTTTTTTCATTCATCTATATATAGGTTGATCGAGTTTGATGAGCTGGTCACGAATATATGTGTTTCTTATTTCGATGGGATCTTGTTTCGGTAGAAAAAATGATGGAAAAGTTGAATGATGACACATGTAGCATTTGCAAATATGAATTCATTATTTTTACAGAAATTGTTAGATTTCTATTTTGATTCTTTCTCAAAATTGATGAAAACACTTTATTCTGATTCAGCAACAAAAACTGAGTAGAATAATGTTATTCGATTAAGATTCAATTTAAAATAGTAAAAACATTCTTCCAAAAACTGATAGCTTAC